ATTTTCCTCCTCAAATTTAACCACTTAAATTTATTGTGAATGAAAAGTTTCTATCAAATTTCTGTCTAGCTATCACTGAAGTGACTTGGACTTACATTTTTTAATGCTTTCTAAAAGATAAAATCCCACAATTTCATGCCCAAACTTATGGCTGCATTTATTCTTAATAGTATTTAAAAGAAACCATATAACACACACACACACACCCCCACATATCTTTAGAGCAATCTGAAAAGGCCATCCTGGTTGGCTCTTCACCTGGGCTTTGAAGAACAGGTAAAAATTCTGATTCTCAAAATTGAGGCAGAGAAACAAGGGTTTCAATTTGAAATACTGTCCAAAAAGACTGGTAAGTAGATTGTTGTTGGACCATTGTGTGGAATGTGAAGCTAGAAAGATCCAAGGAAGAATTATGAGTAAAATAGAAAAGGAAAGAGAAGAAATTAACATTTTCTACTTTCCTGCCATAAATTACTTGTTTGAAGTAGCTATTTTCTAATGTTACTGCTATTCACTTATTGGGTTTCAATACACAGCAAATCTCAGTCTAAGCCATGCAGTTCTTTGCTATATATATTCTCTCACCTCTTAAGAGTGTCTTACTGCAAATATCAAAAAGATCTGCTACCAATAATTCAGATTAGTGTTTATCAGGCGGTAATCTTAATAACAGAATCACTTTGACAGCTCTATAACACAGGAGGCTGAAATGTTATCTTTTCTCCCTATATTTTGAATTTATATAACTGTTGCTATTTCTTAATAACTATACTAAAGAAACTACTTTTAAAAAAATACCTATTCTGTCAAAGCTAAGTTTACAGTCATTTATTGCTTTAGTTTTAGCCAAAAAAAAAAAAATTGATGCTTATAACAAGAAATTCTTTTCCTACTACATTACAATTAGTCAACCATGGCTTTAAATCATTCTGTGCTAGAAACCTCATCTAACATGCCCACTGGGAAGTCTAAAGGACACCACAAACTTCACATTTCAGATTGATGTGTGTCCCACTATAGACTGCTAAGCTTTGGTAATTCTCCCAATAGCTCTACCATCCAAGGCAGAAAGCCAGAAACTAACTGGGTTATCTTCCACGTTTTCCTTTTCTTCTCTCTGGTCATGTCAATGCTCTCTCTTAGAAGACAGAAATTGCGTGCCTTTCTCTGCACATTGACTACCACAGCTCAGTTAGTCCCTCTACCCTTTAAGCTTCTACACCTCTCTAATCAGTCTCCCTGTCTTTACAATCCACCCTCTGTGTTTCCATCAGCATGTTCAACACAAACATTCAAACTCACATCACACTCTTGAAACACTCCAGCATGCTACAAGTCAAATTTGCCTTCACCCCTAGGCTCCTGCCTATCTGTCCAACCCTTCACATTATGTACCTTCTGCCTTAACAGCCCAAAACTCCATGTGGTTTTCATCTGTCCTTCCAGCCCCCACCAACACCTCTGCAGAGGCTGTGCTGTTTGGTTACAATGTCCTGCTGCTTCTCAGCTGGAGATTCCCAACTTAAGGCTTGATTCAGATGCCACTAGTTCTAGGAAATTTCTTTGACAACCTCTTCTCATGAAGTTATTCTCTCCTTTGGCTACTGGAGCATTTGGGGTAGCATTTATTACTATACCAGATGCATTTCACATTGGTCTCCAGAGTTAAGACTGAGAACTTCCCAAAGCCAGGATACTACTTCTTATTTCTTTATAAATCTAAACCTACAACAATGTTTGCAGACTGTCATATCTACATTAATATCAAGGACTGGTTAACTATTATCCATTACTAACAACAACCAACCCCGAAAACCAAAACTCAAAATAAGGTTGGCCAACAAGAGTCAAGTCATGCCAAGTGCTAACTGGGCTCAACAAAGCTTAATTATCAGAATGATCGGTTTGTCCAGTGACATACCAGTTAGGATTAATATTTATCCACACTATGTTTTATTATGCAAATCAGCTGACTGGATTGTAGCTTAGTCTAAAAAGGCATTTCAAAGATTTCCAAATGCCAACATCAAGGGAAATTTCCAGTAAAATATGTGCTGGATTCACTTTAATGAACATCTATTTTTAAAATAAATGTGCAATGATCACTACTAACTTTCATGAAACAGCTTGTTAACAGTTAGATCCTCTGCTAACCCTGTTCATGAGCTCTTGAAGGGCAAGGATGCCATCACCTTTCTATTCTGAGCACACTCCAGCTACTAAATAAAGGTTTACTGAATTGACAATCAAGTCATCTTAAGTTTTTGGGTGAGTCATATGTGGAAGTAAAATGCACATGAATTGCCAAGTGACAAAGGCGGAAAGCAAGTTAAACTAAATTAAAGTTCTTAGATATATTTATTGTTTGCCACCAATTCATTTCACTGAGAAACTATTTTGAGTATGGCCAACAGTCACTCTATTTATGTCCTATATAAAAGAGATCAAAAAGTGATTTCAGAAAGACTACCAATGTAAAAGATGTACCTTGCATTGGTATAAAAGGTAAAAAAATGTGTTTTATCTTTGTGAGTGTGGTTACTGCTATTACAAAAAAGCCTGTATCCTGAGGAGGGGGTTGGGGGATATGTTGTCTGGTTTCACTGTGTTTCATCTCTGGGTCATGCAGCAGCCCAATACAAATATCAGAGAACACACTAAGCCTTCTCTGCAGCCAGTTTTAATCATTTGAGAAATGTCTACCTAATTGGTGAATTATTTCAAATTCCTTTCTTTTCTTCCCTGATGTTTAATCACTGTGGAGCCAAATAACTTCATCTGATGGTCTAACAGGGAAAAGTCCAGTAAGTCAGTATTATTAGGGACTCAAGCAAGTCCCAGTGATAGGAAATGGGGCAAAAATTTAAACTTTAGACACTAGTGCATTTAAATTATCCATGCTAATTTGAATAATATACTATGAAAGATAGATATATAAACACACTAATTTGTTGTTGTAATATTAGAAAATTGAAACTCGGATATAGGATATCTGTACTGTACATTTCACTTCTTTTTAAATCACAGATTGGATGTACTATAAATACTGCCTAATTTCTCTATCTTCAAAATCCGTATGATTTTAATGTTAACAGTTCCAACTGGAAGGTCATTAACTTATGAAAAGAAGTCCTTTTTTTTTTGGTTCAAGAACAGAACAAAAGGATAGGCATATTTATTTCATATGAGTCATACTGTGAACTTAAAATGCAAAGCAAAAGACTGACATGCACTTAATATGTATTTCAAGTCTTTGTAACAAAAGAAAAATCATTACAAAATTTAGTTATGAGACAACACGTCACTAAAGATAAAGCCGACTAAACAATAGGCTCCCATGTTCCATCTAATGAGATGGAACAATGTAGATCTAACTAGTGAGCCTTAAAGGATAAAGCAGAATAAACTGAAGACATCTCAGCTCTTTATACTCAACTGTTTCACTAACAAGGACTCAAAGAATAGATATTTTCCCTATCATTAACAACAATATTTCAGTGCTAAAACTGGCAGTTGAATACTGGTGATAAAAACTAGAGAGTGATTTATCCTGACAGTTTAAAAAATGGAGAGAATAATTATAAAATATAAAACTCACTAACTTCAAGAAGAATTAAACATGCAAGAATTTGAGACTCATTTCTGCTTCAGAGAAATATTCAACAGGAAATGGATTTCTAATTTTGAATTTCTGGCCCAAATTTGCTGCACCATCAAAACAAATTACCTACACCTCATCAAGCTATTATTAAAACTGATGGCATTACAAGAACAAATCCATCTATTTCTCTAGGATGTTCAAAGAAACAGAAAGAGGGCAGAGAACAAATGACGCAAGTAGGAGAAGGGAGACAGACTCAGAACTGTGCTGCAATCTAGGCCAAAGAAGCTGCAGATACATGAAGAGCAAGGCCAGCACAGGATCTTCCACGTATACTCTGGTTCTGAAACCATTTGTTTGGGGTTGGGGTTTTTTAATTCTGTAATTATAGCACTCTATTTCCTAAAAAAGATGTTTAAACACATAAGAAGACATTAAAAACACTAAAATTCAGTTATTCAGTTGAGGTACTTGGATTTATATTAAGGGAATGACAAAATGATAATTTGACAAATTATGTATTTATATTTAATTCAAAAAGAAGGCATAACATGTTAATATAACTTGTTATAAATTTCAGCCCAATCAGTCTTAAATATTTTTGACTCTATGACTGTTAATTACAGATATGGCTACCCTAACTAGAATGCCACTTGAGAGCCCTGTACTAATTTTGCTAGACCAAAGACTCAGACCTAAAAAAATAAAAATAAAAAAAAGCAACCATTTACACTTACTAAGAAAAGCAAACATTTACTTCAAATTGCAGTATAGGCTTTTCAATCACAAAAAGAAAGAAAAGAACAGTGATCTGACAGTGGTCATATCCTGTGCAAAAAACTTGAGATACAAAAATGGTAACACAAGGTATCTGAGCTGCTTACATTGCAGGAAAAAGGAAATACAGTAGCTGAAATACGGCACTCCTGGGAATCAACTTCTAAACCAAATAGAATGCCTTTGAAATGATGAAATTTATTTGTGTATTAGTAAGAAAGCCCCACCACCATAAATAGTACAATATTTAAAAATAAAAAAAAAATATTTATATCTATCTAAGATAGTGTATTTGTACTGTTAGACCTCTTTAAGTGCAGAAGGTGGTTCAGCTTTTACCTTTTTCTTAAATTAAATAACTGCCCATATGCTTTATAAAGTTTCACTCAATTGCAAAAGCCAATTTAAATCAAGGAATATGTTATCAAAGTTGCATAATTTCATTTGGGACTGCCAGCAGGTTAAAGTCTCAAATCAAGTCTTTAACATTAATGCTCATTTTTAGTCAACGAAAAGTTAAAAAGTTCTCAAATCTTCATTATCCTCGTGAACTTGCCCTTCTAAATGATCCTCAGACTGCAATTCCTAGTTTGCAAATAAAAGAATGCAATATGCATCATACTTCAAGAAAAGACGACGATGTCGAACTAACATGCTTCTGGATCTTTTCCCTGCTCCTTTCAACCTTCTTTATAATTTCAGCCACTATGCACACTGATGAGGTGAGACCCAAAAGAAACAGCAGATCTGCAAGAGAAAATAAGTTGCATTTTACAATTCTTTGCAACTTAGAGTTGCAAAGCTTAATAGCTTACTTTTTCATAGCATTTTACCACTTTTTTACATATGTAAATGGTTTCAAAACCATTCATGAGGCAGACACATTAACCTCAGTTTAAAAGTAAGGAAAGTAAGATACAAAGGTATTAAGTGACTTATTGAATATCACACAGCTCAGAAAGGCAGCAGCCAGAGAACTAGAATCCAAGTCCCATGACTACTTTCCCTGAACTGTAACCTCATAACCGTAACCTTTAACAGCAACACAAGCAAGAGGAGTTTTCCATTTACTACATCAGTGGTAACTAACCTGATTGAAAAATGCCTATCTGAAGATTACTTAGAAATTTGCACCTATTCCATTTGAAAGCCAGAAGAACTTGTTGATTAAAGATCATGTCTTTACAAAAGCATCCACAATATCTCATTCTTATTTACTGCTTGAAAAACTGCAGCTGTCTCCTTAAAACGCCATCTCTTTTTAAAGAGGAAGGAATGTGAATATGAAATTAAAATACTGAAATTAAATTAGTTCAACTTCAAGGTAAACTTTAACTTGAAAAATGCAATAAGGCTGAATAACTTATTTTCATAAATATTCAAATTAACTTAAAAATCTAATTAAAAATAGCACTACCATAAAAACACATGAGTCCTCACACTTACATAGGAAGATTAATTTTTAAATGTACCGTACTCATAAAAGAAGAATATGCAAATTAACAAGTAAGAAGAGTGAAATATTTGTTTACCAAAATTTAATTTTAAAGAGCAATTTGGTTTCCAGTGAGCTTAAATCTAGTTTTTTCTTCATACAAGACTGAAAAGTTACAAACTACAATTATTCTGTAACAAGTTTTGATTTGCTCCATTTCAGGATCAACAAATATGACTTTGACAATTGATAACGTATAAAAAAATTATCAAAAGGTTAAAAAATGTAGTTAGAGTGACTCCCCTCAACTTCTCCAAATGAAGAAAGTAGAGCACACCACTATTCCAAATCAAGTCAGTCACTTTTCTTATTTCACTTTTTTGTTTTCTTGGGTGAGGAAGATTGACCCTGAGCTAACATCTGTGCCCATCTTCCTCTATTTTTTGTATGTGGGACGCTGCCACAGCTTGGCTTGATGAGCAGTGTGTAGGTCTGCAACCAGGATCCAAACCCACAAACCCTGAGCCGCCAAAGCAGAATAAGTGAAATTAACCACTATGCCACCAGGCCAGCCCCTTATTTTACTTTTTAAAAGAAAAATTTTGTTAGAACAAAGGTATTAGAAAATAAAATTCATCTAAAATATATAAACTATAAAGTTAACATTTTCTTTACCCAGTATACTTAGGCTCTCAGTCTGAAAAACTTTCTGGAGTGGAGGAAAGTAAATAACTAATAATTGTCCCATGATGGATCCAAGAACTGCGTAGCAAAACATTTTATTACTGCAGAGTCCAATCTCAAACACAGACTTGGTCTGTTGGCAGAGCAGAGAGTTCAATTATTACTCCTTGGTCCTGGAAACAACTTCTTTATTATTACATTTATCTCCAATTTTTAATAAGCTGAACTGAACTTTAGAATGGTGGTACCATGAAATCTCTTAATCTTAAGTATTATTTTGGAATAATTCAGACGGAATAGGGTAAATTTTAAAGCAGCCTCTCATTATCAAGAAAGGGCTTTCTTTAAAAGAGTGATGCTATAAAAAGTAAATAAATAAAATACAAAGAAAGAAAACTTACTTTAGCATTGCAAAGCATTTGAAACTTTATTTATATATGATTATTTTGCTAAATCATTTCTATCCATTAAAGTAGATAATCTATAAAACTTTCTTGAAGAAAGGACCCAGTTATGTGTGTACTGAAAAAGTTAAACTGCCCTTCACAAAACAAAACATGAATACTATAGCTTCTTCAAAAATTAGCCTAAATTAATGACAATTCACTGTACTTGGAAAGTTGTAGCATGGCAAAAGATAACAGATATAGTTAAGGATTCATAAGGTCCTGTAGAATTAAAACGAATAGTCAGGACTCAAATGGAACTAGTTTTCAAAAACAATATGCTCTGAAAAAGTATCATTAGGTTCTAGCCCATTATTTTCCATCAAAGCACTTCCATCAAAAAAAGGCAATCACACCTTAAGATATAACATGGGAAGAAAAGCAAATTTAAAATGTCCTAAGCTTTGACACACTGGCAGAAGTAACAGAAAAAAATTAACACGTATGAAATTGTTCTTGTAGTAACAATACTTTCTTCTAAAATGAGACTAACACCGTCTTAACAGAACCCATGAGCTTCGTCCTATGCTCAGACATTAACCGAACCTATCATATAGCTACAGATAATAAAAGAATGGGAAGAAGAAAGATCAAGCAATGACACCTGGGATTTACTGTGATATTCTGGTCAAAGGTAGGGCTTTTCTCCCCGAATGCCCCATCTTCATCATGATACATGTTTGTAGGCACGCTGTATCTGAGGCTACAAAATCAAGCAAAACTGAAAACCCATAATCCTTGCCTACTTACAATTAGAGAGTGCGCTACCCAATTGAATCAGTCAGCTAAGATCACCTAAGCATACCTGGGATCTGGAACTTAGTGCATTGAACATGTCGAAAAACACAAAGCACGTGAAGGTCATTGTTGTGTCTCGAGGTGTTATCACATTGTCTCGTAGCTGTCAAGAAGAAAAAATGATTTTCACTGGCTGAATTTAATGGACAAATATGGCATGCTTTTAAAACTGTAATATTTTCTTTCCATTAGGGTGAAAGAGTTTTGGTCCAAGATATAAAACATATAAGCTACCTAAATTTCCTATACGCCATTTAAATAAGTCACCTAATGAATAGCTGTAGTCTACGTAAAGGAAAAAGTCTTCTCACAAAACATGCGTTGGATACTAAAACAACCTTGTTTTTTGATGACAATAAAGTAGTCATATTAAAGACTCACTTTCTAACTTTTCAAATTTTTATATATTAATTTTTATTGTATCTGATACTTCTCTGCAGATTGAAATTATTCTAATAAATGAATCAGGAATTCTATTAACCCAAAACTATTTTTATATGTTTTACTACATTTTTCACAGAGTTCTCCTAACTTTGCAGCCTTCATGTAATATACCAAAATCACTGACTCCTATCACACACAGAGCACATTAATAAAGCAGTTTATCCAGTGAATATACCTCCCGCCAGAAGACAAACAAAGTCCCACAAACAATGATTATTGATGAAACAAGTATTTTAAGTATCAGGTTTTTGGTCAAAATGCTGTCCTTCCAGTTGCGTGGAGGTTTACGAATGACATCTTTATCCACCGGTTCTACTCCAAGGCTTCAAAACAAACAGAAAATTGCATTAGTTTAAAGTTTTAAGGTTTGGATTTGTTAATCTCACAACCTCACTAACTTCAATTATCCAGGAAACTAAATGCTTTCTTATGGAAACAAAATGTTGAATCAGAGAGAAAACCTTGGCTATGCGTACTTGAAAATAACCAAGGATTTTATCACGCTTCCCTCTTTCACTCTTATTTGGCACAGCTTGATAAAACTTTGAGGGTCAAATTTCAAAAAATTATCCAATTTCATTTACATATAAGTTTACTTATTTCAAATATGGCCTGAAATACATGACCTAACAACTGGAATTTGAAGTATTTTTCATGCAAGGAGGTTTCGACTAGAATGATTTGTTGTAATGGCCACTGACATGCATCGCTCAACTACTCTGCGCTGGGAAGCAATTCTATGGTCCCATTACTAAAAAGAAAATACTTGGATGTTTAGATCCCTCAATACTTTCCCAAAGTTTCTAAAACTGACAACAGAACCTAGGTAATAACACTAAACTCAGAGATTTCTCCATTACATCCCATTCTTAGAAACAAAAAGCTGGGGACAGCCCAGGGGCGCAGCAGATAAGTTCGAATGTTCTGCTTCAGCGGCCTGGGGTTCGCTGGTTTGGATCCTGGGTGTGGACATGGCACCACTTGGCAAAATCCATGCTGTGATAGCTGTCCCACGTATAAAGTAGAGGAAGATGGGCATGGAGGTTAGCTCAGGGCCAGTCTTCCTCAGCAAAAAGAGGAGGATTGGCAATAGTTAGCTCAGGGCTAATCTTCCTCAAAAACAAACAAAAAAAAGGAAACAGAAAGCTTACTTCCTGAGGACAGGGACTACACCTGTTTCCTGATCTGTTCTCAACTTAAGGTTGGGCATCTAACACAGTATAAAGGCGGAGATCCATAACGCACAAATGCCACTCAAAAAGAATAAATGATATGCACACATCACACAATTTATAGCATACATGTTGCTGCAAAGATTTCCAATGCTGTCCATGAATGAAGTCTTAAAATTTGCTTATCAGAATATCACACCTTCCTTGTCTTTCTAATGTATGCATGAAGAAAATCCTTTACCTCTGAGCTGGAGGTCCATCCATAATAATATTGATCCACAATATCTGCATGGCGTTGAGAGGATTAGGAAAGTTCATTAAGGTAGCCAGTGAGATTAAAGTTAATGCGGCTATACTCCTGTTGAAAAAAAGAGTCATTAAAAAAAAAAATCTGTCAGCCTAGTATAATTCTTACTAATTTTACAACTCACCTTTTTAGCATTACAAGTAACCTATGCTTCATTCATGTGAACATTTTGAAGCTAAGAGTTAATCCTTACAATCCACAGCATTTTAACAAAGGATTTTCAAGATGTTTACATAACAACAACAAATAAAGGAAGATTTTTTAAATTGGGTTCAGAATAGTTGTTGTTATAAACAGTTAATGGTTTCAATGACATTTTGGTAACTTTTTTGACTACAGAAAAGCCCTTCCACTTTTGGAAAAAGATACCAAGACGAAACACTAAGATTTGACACCCCTTCCTTAGTTATTTCAGGAGCTATTAAATAAGTCACAAAGGTTTACATATTTTAATGATGATATAGATATCTAATTATCACATTTAGAACATTTATCATACTATTTTAAATTTTAAGACAGAATTAGTTATTTTGGAAAACTTACATATGAACAAAAGTCAGAAATAGAGCCCAAAAGCTTCTAGGCATTCTGCTTGAATTCTAATTTTCACATAATTTATCTGTAAGACCCATGGTGACAAACTTCTAAGAAACTTACGTGCTGAGTTGGAATCTAACAAAATTTTTAATGTTATTATAAATCCCTTTACCCTCTTCAATTGCAGACCTGGAATTTAAAAACAAAATCAAGTGAGAAAACATTATGATACAAAAATAAAAATATATCCATACTAACACACTGTGGAGCTAATTTTGAAAACAAATTTCCAACTGATATACATATCACTAAGAGAATCTATTATTTTCTTCAAATAACTAAGATTAGAAAAAATATAAAACATTCCAGCAAGGAATTAAAGTCAAGTCTGCTAACCTCTACCTGAACTAATTTCATTACACAACATTAAAATTCTTATTCTTAAAAAGCTATTTCAGGCCCGGCTCCATGACCGAGTAGTTAAAGTTCCATGCACTCTGCTTCCGCAGCCTGGGTGTGCAGGTTCAGATCCCAGGTGCGGACCTACTCCATTCATCAGCCATGCTGTGCAGGCATCCCACATACAAAATAGAAGAAGACTGGCAACCGATGTTAGCTCAGGGCCAATCTTCCTCACACACACAAAAAAAGGATGTTTTTACATTTTTACATTAAATAACATATTGTCTTTCTACACAACAGACAATACTACACATTTATAGTGCTAAAATAATGTTCTTCTTTACCCCTCCAAGTTTATTTTTCTTAAAGACACACTGTGAAACTGACACCACCAGGTATTACATAAGAATCTTTAATTAATTACAAACTGTAGCTGAAATAGACAAAGCTATTCAAACTTAATAAACTTTCATTGACAACATAAACAATTACTGACATAAAGAAATAGGTACAACTGGGAACTTGATTATCTGATTGTAAGGCCATGCACATGCATATTTCTGACAGCCTAAATTTAACTAGAATAAAGGCCCCATGAAGGTCACCTGTGGTACTACAGTACTGGCCAGAAAAATGTGACACTTGGTTGGCACTTGGTAAATATTTCTTAAATGAAGGGCCCTGCCATTTATTAAAGTCCTTTCCATTTCATACAAATAATTTTCTCCGAAACTACACACTAGGCCATGCAACAAGACTAATTAATCCAGAAAAATAGTTTAGTTCATCCAATGTTTAAACATTGCTTTTTCCAGTTGAATTTTCTGGGATGGGGTGCAGGAGAGGATGGGACAAGGCTCTCTGATGAGCATTCACTGAAACAAAACTTACATTATGGTTTGGAAATCATCATCCACCAGGATCATGTCTGCTGCCTCTTTGCAGACATCTGTGCCAGTCTGACCCATTGCGACTCCAATGTCTGCAGCCTTCAGAGCAACTGCATCATTTACGCCATCTCCTGTCATGGCTACAACCGAGCCATTCTTCTGTAGAGACTGGTGTCGGGGAGGGAGAAGAGGAGGAGGGAGGAATTCTGATAAAAATGCTGCTTCCACACAGATAAAGAGATAAACAAATCCTCTGGGGTTTTCTTCACAAAATTAAGATGGGAAATAGGGCCGGCCTGGTGGTGCAGTGGTTAAGTGCGCACATTCCGCTTCTCGGCGGCCCAGGGTTTGCCAGTTCGGATCCTGGGTGCGGACACGGCACCGCTAGGCAAAAAGCCATGCTGTGGTAGGCATCCCAAGTATAAAGTAGAGGAAGATGGGCATGGACGTTAGCTCAGGGCCAGTCTTCCTCAGCAAAAAGAGGAGGATTGGCAGTAGTTACCTCACGGCTGATATTCCTCAAAAAGAAAAAAGGTGGGAAATAATATAGACTACTAATTTTTCAATAAACTTCCATATATGGAGGTCTTACAGCTTAGAAAAAGATGCTACTAATAGTCACAGGTGAGAACTATATGTCTAAAGTCTGATCTAGAGTCAATTATACAGTGGTTCTCAGGGGCAATTTTACTACGTAGGGGACATCTGGCAATGTGTGAAGACATTTTTGATTGTCCTGACTTCGGGGATGCTACTGGCATCTGGACGGTAGGGGTGAAGGATGCTGCTAAACATCCTACAATACACAGGACAGCCCCTCACAATGAAGAATTATTCAGTCAAAAATGTCAAGAGTGCCCAAGACTGAGAAACTCTGAACTAATACAGTGGAGTACTATTGTGATTAATAAATTAAGTCCACTAAATAATGAATACTATGTCACCTGCTTTATATATATTTGACTAATTAGTATAAATAACATAGCCTTTTATTTTTTATTTATTTATTTATTTTTTAAGATTTTATTTTTTCCTTTTTCTCCCCAAAGCCCCCCGGGACATAGTTGTGTATTCTTCGCTGTGGGTTCTTCTAGTTGTGGCATGTGGGACACTGCCTCAGCGTGGTCTGATGAGCAGTGCCATGTCCGCGCCCAGGATTCGAACTGACGAAACACTGGGCCGCCTGCAGCGGAGCGCGTGAACTTAACCACTCGGCCACGGGGCCAGCCCCTAACATAGCCTTTTAAATATGGTTCATACTCAAAACATTTTTCATTTCTTGCTCTATATATTCAGTTTCTAAGTAATTACTGCTATTCACGCTGAGATGATTTGGCTATGGACTCCTGTCAGAACATACTTTTACACTGGTCAATTGTTTAAAGAAGGACGTATTTGCAGATATTTCATTAAAATTTTCTTCTCCCCCTTCCCTTGCTAACTAAATTCTCTATTAGTGCTTCCATTTCAGGCTTTAAGAAAAAGAAAAATCACCTATTTTGCTTCACAATATTTCTGACATTAATGCTTTATCAATACAATCAATAGTAACGCAAACATAACGAAAGACAAGAAGTAGCATTTTGAATACAGAGATAAAATGATCTGATTCTTAGAGACTCACCTTAATAATTTTCATCTTGTGTCTTGGACTAGCTCTGTAAAATACCGCAACCTGTTAAAATACAGGATACACTAAAAATCTTCAATGTTAAGAAATATCAGAATAACCCATGCACTTACAACTAACAATCTTTTTAAAATTATCTATTTAAACTTACTTAATCTGCCACAGAGATCAAGCTTAAGCAACATGCCATATTTGTTAAGATATCCACATTGATACCGGCTCAACACAAGGTTGACATAAGGGAAGCCATGTTGTAGAAAAGAAACCATATTGTAAGTTTGAATGACGTCTGACTAACTAACCCAGCTGGATACACACCCTCCAGAAGATCCACCCTCTCTGTAGATTTTACAATCCCGGCTAGTGCACATACCTCCCAGCTGTGGTAAGATGGTAACTTTGGTAGAGTTCCTTAGGAATGTGATGACCGCTGGACAGAGGGTCTAGCTGGTGTGGCTACTCCCAGTCTATAACACCAGAGGGTCAACATTCCTAACCCCGTCCCCTATAACCCACTGGTCTATATAACTGCTCCAAGATTCTGTGTCCCCTTAAGATGGTTCTTTCAGACATTAGTCGGCCATCTTCCCCTTTGCTAGCAAGCCGTAATACACCGCCCTTCCTCTGCCACTATCTTCCCTCTTAATGACTGGTTTGTCTCGCAACGAGTAGATCCTGTCCTTTGTGCAATAACAATATGACACAGTCATTTCAAACTTTACCAAAGGTACCACAGGAAATACATAATCTAAACAAGTTATTCAATTTATCCTGTTATGTTTAAGCTCTGAAGAGAAAATGGCCTTATTCTTGAAATGTTTCAGAGACAGACAAAGGAAAAGCTCATTTGCATCTGTTTCCTCATGACACTGGCATACAACTCAAACAGTTTTCCCCTTTGTCCTGTCTTCAGGAGAGAGAAAGAACAGCTGCTCCCCCGTGTCCGTAGAGCCCCCCCTACCTTTTTTTTTTAACATCATCAAGTGTCTGCTCATTCTCTTTTATTCAGGTTAATTCATTAAGTTCTCTTCCACTATATTTCCAACCGCTTATATGATCTTCTCTCCAAACTACATATTTAATCCCTTTTTCTGATCTTATCTTCAGGTCTCCTGAAATCCTTTCACTGTGCCCAAGTCAGTCATCAACAAAATCCCCTGTATCCTCCACTCTTTTCCACATTGCTCAAACCTAATTTTTCCACAAAACATGGGCCACACCTACAGTCCACTCAAATAGTACCACCAAGCGGAGCCAGTCCTTTTGGCCTAGTGGTTAAGTTCGGCATGCTCCACTTCAGCAGCCCAGGTTCGGTTCCCAGGCAGGGACCTACACTACTCTTTGGCAGCCATGCTGTGGCAGCAACCCACACACAAAAGACAGTAAGACTGGCACAGATGTTAGCTCAGGGTGAATCTTCCTCAAGCAAAAAAAAAAAAAAAAAAAAATAGTACTACCAGGAGAGCCTAGATGGAGGTAGGTGGCCTCCATTCTTCCTTCTTTATTCATAAAACCTCAGTTTTGAATGTCACATGAGACTATACTTCCAACTAAATTCAGGTATGCACTGCTCCAGAGGTCACTCCCCCATGTTTCACAAAGATTTTAACTTCTGCCTCACTGTCACTCTCTCCATCACCACTTCCAAGTCATGGTGATTTTACCATCCAATAATATACCCTTCTCTTTCCTACTCTCCTAGAGGATTAGTTCATACTAGTTGTCTCTCCTCATACTTCCAATTTATCCCCTTCTCCAACCTCAATCTCAGCTGACAACCTTGTTTCCTACTTCAAAGAAGACAGAATCAAGAGAATTTCAATTCCCACCATCCAGTATCTGTATCCAGGCATCATCCTTTCCTTCTTTCCTTTTACTACAATGAACTGAATATACGACTAGTAAAAGTCAAATATTTGAAATTCTCCCCCTCTTACATCAAATTTTTTTCCTGGCTGCTGTGTCTTTACCGTCAGTATACAAATATGTTGCTATTTCTTTGACTTAAATAAAAACAAAAATTTCCCCTTTCACCTGCCACCCTACTTTTCCCCTTCTCTTTATAGCAACACTCCTCTAGGGAACTGCCTATACTTGCTGTCTCCCATTTCTCCCTTCCCATTCTCTCTGAATCCATCCCAATCAGGTTGTTCCCGCCATCACTGCACTGAAACCCCTATTCAGGAGCACCAAAGACCTCCCCACACTGCTAACACCAATGGTCATTTCTTATCCGACTTAACCTCTCAGCAGCACCCAAACATAGCTGATAATTCCCTCCTCCTGAAACACCTTCTTCTCTTGGCTTCCATGATCACCCTAAACGCTCCTGGTCTTGCTCCTGCCTCTCTGGCTGCACCTCTTGTACAGGTTCCTCCAGGCCTCCCTGAAGTCTGAATGATGAAGTATTCCAAGACTCAGTCATCAGACGCTTCTCCATAAGAGGACTAAGAACCCCTATCTCTCCCTAAGTGATCTCGTCCAGACTTACAGATTTGGATTTTATTTATACACATTTTTATCTCCAGCCTAGAACCATCTTTTCTAAAATCTGGATGGATGAAACTAACCCACCTACCTACTCCACATTTCCCCTTGAATGTCTTGTCTCAGACTTAAACATATCCTAAACTGAACCTCTATAATTTCCAAAGAAATGTGCTCCTTCATATCCTCTGCTAATGATAAGTAGATCCTTACAGTAGCTCAGGCTCTAAATTTTGGGAGCCACTCTTGATTCCTGCTTTTTTTCTCACATGCCACAAGCAGCAGGATTTGACAGCAAATCCTGTTGGCTCCATCCTCAAATATTTCCAGAACTCAAGCCCCTTACTCTGAACCCACTGCCAACACCCTGAGCCAATATCTCTGAAGTGATTTTCTTATTTCTGCCCTTGCCTCCTACAGTCTATTCTCAACACAGTGGCCAGAATGAAACTGTTTAAACAGAAGTCAGATCAGATCTGTCCTCTGCTCAAACTCTCCAGTGATTTTCCATTTTCCTCAGAATGAGTGCCAAAGTCTTTTATTCTCTACTAAATCCCCCATGAAGTGCATGTCCCCCCTCCCCCATTAATCTTTTCCCACCTGAGCTACACTGGCCTCCTCACTGTTCCTGAAACACATGCCAGGCATATTCGCCTCAAGGCCTTTGCCCCTGTGTTCCCTTGGTCTGGGGTGCTCTTCCCTCAGATCACATACGGCTGCCCCTTCTGTCAATACTATCTTCTCAGTGAGGCCTTTCCTAGTCACGTTATCTAATTTCAATCTCCCTCTTCAATCTTTCAAATCTCTTTTCCCTGCTTTTTCCGGTGCTCTTTAGCACTTATCTTACATAATATATATTTATTTATCTTAGACTATAAGCTCCATGAAGGCAGAGAATTTTGCCCTGTACCTCCAGTGCTCTATAAATACACACAAAATAAATGAATAAATGATTGAATAAATCTAAGTACCATCATAAACACTGTTCTCAGTTCTCTCCTAGTTTTACTAAAGATCTAAAACAAAAGAGAATTACTTTCTTAGGCAAAAGACTCAGTTTAACTGTAATATCACATTATTGATTATCCTTAGGTTTTCTAGATACCATGAATCACACAAGTCACATTGGGAGAATATTTTTCCTTTAAAAAATGTCCAAAAATCCATTTGGAAACACTTTAGTGTGTTTAAAAAGGACTAAACTATATATGTACTTAAAGTATACTGGTTACCCTCTAAGTGGAAATTCTACGTTACTACAGAAATTAATCATGTAGCACACAGCACTGAAGTACAAGAGTGTTTAGCAAAGGCTGCAGATTTTATAGAATATTTAAATAAAAGGCTAATTACAAATACTCAGGTTAAATAGAGTGAAATTTTGCCTTTGTTCTACTGCAAATCATTTGAACCACTCTGAACCACTGCGAATCACTCCTTTATAGTCACTATGGGTTATCACTAACAATGGCAGTGAGGATGACAAGCCAACTGCTGAAGTGAAAGCATAGTTCTTTTACAACTTACTTGGTATGCATCCAGTATACCTATTACTTGATAGGAGATTTTAGCATTTCACAGCTGTGATGGCAACTCAAACATAAGAGCAGCTGCTTTGAGACTAAGCAGATCTCAATGCAAAGCTGCAGACTCACTTGGTGTTTTGCATCTGATACATAAGACTGTACAAAGTAAACTCTGTTCTTAAAGCACCAGGATGAGCGGGTCAGTCTTTTTAGTTGTGTAAAAATATTGAAATTAAGTGACACAGAATCATGGCCTGGAGAAATTAAGATATTAAAAAACAAACAGAAATGACTAAAAATTGGACTGTATCATTATATTACAGAGGTAGGAGAGAACTTGGAGGTAACTAAATTTCCTCTATTATTAATCTTTTCACCTTTCTGTTTCTCTACCTAGAAAAAGGGAATATACTGACTAAAGATAAGCACATAATAAAATCACCGTACTTTAAGAGGAGGAGAGGAGAAGACACAAGGAGGACGACAGGATGGTAAAAGGACAATGGGAAAGAAGTAGAACTTGGTCAAGGAAAGAGTTTAGGGAAATATGGGAGGGAAAGGTAAAAATCACTGAAAGAAGGGGGAAAGACTATTTTCAGAAGGAACCTGCAAGAGTATTTTTCTCTTTTCGTGGGACTTCCTTTCAGTGTCATATTTGAGGTCAGCATTCACAGTTCCTTTGATCAACATTAACAGACAAGGTGTCCTAAGGAAAGGAAGTCATGAAAAGAAGAAAGCAGGAAAATAGTAAAGGAGAGGTTAATGAAAAGAAGTGTTCCTGGCATTAAAATAACCTGCCAAAAGTCCCCAAATCTTCCAAGACAGATAAAAAGATACCTGATGCATTGAAGAAAAAAACGGGTGACTGAAATAAGTATTTACAACCTACCAAAAATTAAACAGCACACAAATTGGGATTATATGACAGGGACTTGGTTAATAGGTTCGGTAGAAATATAAATGGGGTATTGCTATAAAAAAACAAAGAGGGGTCGGCCCCGTGGCCAAGTGGTTAAGTTCCCACGCTCTGCT